GCCACGACACCGCTAACGCTACGCGTGTGGGCCGCAAAAACCAGTGGCCCACTACGCTGCGCTACAGCAGTTTTTAGCGGTTTTTGGCCGCTTTTTCCGCTAAAAGCGCTGTAGCGCAGCGTAGCGTAGCGAAAAACCGCTAAAAACCACCAACACTACGGTTTTTAATGAAAAAAGCGCCGCTACGCTACGCTTTTTGGGCCAAAAGCGTAGCGGCCCACCGCTGCTGCGGGTCTCCCAGAGCCGGTTTAGAGCCTCAAAATTCAAATTTCTCTGTGAGAATCAAGAGTTTTTCAGTCTGGATCAACTTCTACAAGCGTCCCAGCTCTAACGGGAAGTCCTCCATTGGCAGGAATTCCTCCAGTATCATCATAATTTTTCCAAAACTCTAGTTTTACATGTTGCCACTACATTTCAGCTCAGAACCATCAATCAGAACCCCATCAGCACAGGGAGCCACAGCTAATCCTCCTTGATCCTCCTTCCTCATGACCCTGGATTTACTTTCCCCCAATGGGTCCATGTTCACAAGCCCTCACTTGATGCACACCCCTTCAGGTCAAAAAAAAAAACATCAAAACACCCCTTGCAAGTTGCCCTCAAAATCCAACTGTACTCCAACAGCCACTTGCAAAGATTAAACCAACCCCCTCCCCCTTCCTCAACAGTGAGAAATCCACCACCAAATCCAACCCCAGAAAAGCAAACCAATCTATTACTTGAACCTTGTTTGGCAGTGATATAATCTGAGCAATTTATTGCTATTTTTGCCTGACATCCCATGTGACCTCTGATCAGGTCCACCAAAACCTCATCAGATGTCACAAAATTTGCAACATATTGCTTCCAATATATCATTATTACTGACAAACAGAGACCAAATACCCTATGAGGACATAACACATTTATGCAGCTGTGTAAGACTTTTTGATTGTACTTAACGGTCTAAGAATAAAAACCAAAATTTGAGTATCACAGATATTTATGTAGCAAAATTTTGGCCTCTATTACTTCAAGTTCAGTGGAGCTGAAAAATGAGTGGCTTATATGACTGGAAATAACTCTTGGTCCTACCACTGCTATGTAGGGGTGAAATTGTGCAGATCACTGAGCTTAGTTTTAGGTCTAATATTGTCTGAGAATCCACATGGGGTTCATAGTTGTGTGGCAAAAATTTGAGCACCTGATCCTTCTTGAATGTTGTCCATATGTTCTCATCTGTTATGTATTTGGCACCCAAGAATTTTCTCAAATGAGTAATGCACTACCAGATGTGGGCTGTAAGTTTCAGTAGCAAATCAAGTCTCCATAAGAATCAGGGACTATCACTGTTTTTTTTTTCCAAAAACCATCCTAAAAGAATAGGCTCAGAGATTCAAACAAAGTGTCATGCAATATAACACCAGCATCAACCTCCATTTCATGTTTGTTGACACTGACATTCAACCAAGACAGGAGGGGGTATCAAATATGAAAATTTTCAATACTATGCCAGTTTCTCCTCAACCAATAAAATTTTACAAATGAATTCATTTTAAGAGAAAATGAGGTTTTAAGTTTTCATGTTTTCCATATTTGATACCCCCAACACCTCCAAAAGGGGCAAAAGGTCATTTAGTAAAACCCCCAACAATCAGGGAAAAAACAAGGTCAACAATTTGTTGTAATCTTGAACTCAGCGCGCAAGAGTTTGAGGGCCAAAAAAGAAAGGTTTCTTTTTGGGAGTAGTTCACGGAAAAAGAATGAAAGAACCAATGATTTTTATTCACAAGTATCTAGCTAGGTTTAAATAGACTAAATACAAGCGTGTCAAAATGTGGTTGGTTGAGAATGAATAAAAATAGGATATTGAATAAAACTAAGAGAAAGAATAAATTGAGTTCTTGGAAGAAACAATCTTGGCAGGACTTCTCAGTCTGTTTTAGTCAGGCAAGAAGAGTTAATCAAGAAAAAACAAGAATTCTATCACAAATATTCAGAGGCGTTAATTCTAAGTAATTAGTTTTTAAGAATCAGATAATTAACATAGAAAAAGAAAGAAGTCAATGATGAAGACAAGAGTTGTTGATTAAATTGCTATAGGAAGTTCTAATTAGACTACACAAATGCATAAGTTTCAACAGAAAACCAGCTATGATATGCTATAATTCAGTCCAGTTCAAGATGATTCAAGAAAGGATAATTGAGGTAAAATAAAGGAGAAGGATGGTGTGATTTTGGGGAGGAGCAGGCCAAAAGAGGAGAAAACTCAACACAATTCAAACTCCCCAAGATTGGGGGCAAATATTAGTGTGTGATACTTTTTCTGAAGCTCATGGAATCTGGATCCACTATCAACATGCTCAAATTTACCAAAAAAGAAGCTCTTTGTTTTTGCTGAGGAGATGCATATTCTTTACTTCAGTGAAGTCTTGGTGACTTGTGAGTTATTGTCTGTGACATGTTGCAAAATTTTGGGAACATGTTGTGAAATCTTGATGATATATGAAATAATATGTGTGACATCATACATGTTGTGAAATATTGCTTGCATGTTGTGCAATGTCTGGAGCAGGATGTGAAGTTTTTGTAACATGCTGTGAAAAACCTGTGACATGTTTCAAAATATCTGTGAACATTTTGTCAATGCAATGGACATTTCACAACGTCTCAAAAACATTTCACAACTTGTTACAGACATTTCACAACATGTTCCCAATAGTTCTCAACCTGTGACATACATTCCATGAAGTGTCACAGACCTGTCTTAACATGTCACTGACTTGTCACAGATTTTCCCTACATTCTTCCAACATTTATTAGCATGTCACAGACATTTCACACTACTTTACAACATGTCACAGATCTGACAAACATGTTAAAAATAACATTCTGCAACATGTCACTTGTATTACAGTCAAACCTGTCTAAGGGCATACCCCTTGGGAGAAGGATTTATGTATGCCTGTAAACAGGTTATGCCCTTAGAGAGAGGGAATTTGCAGCAAAATCAAGTTTTGGGAGAAGCCCTTCACTATTCCCTTATACAGGTTACTAGTATATGCCCCCAAATTTGGGGAGGCAGCTTGTGTTTGCCCCGGATGTTGGGGGTTTTACTCGATGACCTTTGGGGTTTTCTTGAGTTGGACACCTGTCTGCCTCGATCTAACGCCGGCGTCGACAAATCCAACAAATGTGAATTGGAGGTCGACGCCGGCGTTAGAAATGAACTGGGTTTGTTTGGCCCTCTGAGGCCATTTTTTTAGTTATATGTAGATGCACACAGAAAGGTATGCCCTTAGACAGGTTTGACTGTATTTCATACATCACCAACATTTCAAAACACGTCCCCAATATTTTGCAACATGTCACAGACACTATCACACATATCAACAAGGTTTTACACCTGTAAAAAATCAGGATTTAGGCAGCCAAAACAATTTTTTTTGGCAAATTTGAACATGTTTGCAGTGGAAAATGGCATGTGAACCCCAAATCACCTAATACTTTGGGTGATTCTGACCATTTTTCATAATATTATTTTTTATGGTTTGGTAAGGGTGGGATTGGGATTGGGAATACAATGAAAAAATAATTCTCCACAGTGAAGAAAAAAAGTGCTCATCAGATATTTTGCTACTCTTTCATCAATCAAAGAAGGCAGGACAACTTACTTTTCACTTGGCAGTTCAATGTGCATTCAAACCAATCATTAAGATAGAAAGCCATCAATGGAGTTCCAAGCAAAACAGTCAAGTGAGAAGAAGTTGATGGTCAACAGACATCAACAATTAGGGCCTCAAATGGTACACTGTGCCCAGGTGTCAGGTTAAAACCCTGAGTTTGCACTTGAGCTCAGCTTTCCGTGTCCAGGTAGGAAGTACTGAAAAATTGTCACCTGCAACTTAGATAAATTTGAACATTGAACTGCAAGTGTGAGGAAAACTATGAATCAATCTGCTGAGCACAGACTTTAGGTCTTTAAAGAGGTTTTCAAAACCCAAGGTTTGACTCTTTCAGGCAATATTATTTGGAGATGGTGAATTTCATTGAGAAAGATCAGATTGCATAAGATGAACAGGCCTAAACAGAACTTCACAATAAGCAACTTCATTCCAAAAAAATGATTGTGGCAAGACACACCTGTTTTGCTGAGTCACGGTCTTGCTTATCATATAACATGCTGCCGGTTGAATGTTTTGAAATCTTTTTAATCATTCTTATTGTTTTCAAGTGCGATGCCGCCATCTGCATTGCAAGCCCTACTATTAAGGAGCTTGTGTCTGCTAAGCTAGGTTCACGATAGCGCTCCAGTCATCGTCGACAGAAACATGTGTTCACTATGATGGTCCAATCCCCCGGCCGTGTATACGGGAAGTACTCCAATTGGGTTAGATCTACCGTTTCCAATTGAATGACTACCGATGGTGGTAATCTTAGGTACGAGTAAGGTTTGGTCAGGACTTGATCCGACCAAGACCTCACCAAGTCATCCTAGGAAATTCTGGTCGACCCTGATCCGCCTGGACCAAACGGCGGCCCGAGTACTTGTAATTTGTTGATCGGGTCATTTTGCAAAACTCATTTGCAAGGTTGCCCCCTCAATCCACAAAAAACACAATTCGAGAGGCTTGTGATAGGCTCGTCCAATACCGCTCCGCGTCTTGCGCGGGGAAGGGAAAAATCAGAATAGGCCAGCCCAGATCCGGCCTAGTCTCCACCAACCTGAGGAATGATACTTTTGATTTTTTTTTCTTTCCATCGACTTTGCTGTCCTGGATTTTTTGAAAGAATAGACTTGAATGAATAAAAAGGTGGCCGATTTTTCTTGGTTCAGGATGAGTTAGTTTTGTGACCGAGTTAGCTCAGCAGAGCCGTCAATCCTGCCCGGGATTTCCATCTTGCTGGAAATATTTCGATGAAGGCTGGCTTTCCTATTACTTTTGGTGTACGGAGGAAGAATCCAGGTCAGGCGGCTGGAAAGAACTGGGCCGTTTCTCAATAACCCGCCATTTCTATGAGGCTCAATCGGACGAATAACACCTCCCCTGCAAAGATCCCAGGTCGTAGGCGATTGTGGAGGGAGGACCTTAGACTATAAATAACGCACTCTCCGGGCTTCCTCCCAGACTCTCACTCAACACTACCACTCCCCACCAAAAGAGCATTAGAAACAGCTGGTCTTTTCTTCGAAAACTCATCTCCCATAATAATAATTATCAACCCTACCACTCACCTCCCAAAAGAGCATTACGAAAATATACTCATATTCATCTTACTCCTCGGATCTTGGAATCTTTAATTATAACCTATCGTCATCATCAAGAACATACCCATCAGCAGGCTGAACTCTTTCGTTCTCATTCTATAAATAAAAGCTAGGATTATCTCAGTCTGGAATTGGATCATAAGCTAGACTTACTACATCATCTTTCCTTACTTCGCCATGAAGCTTTCTCTGCATTTGTTATTTGTCGCGTGCTATGTCGTTGTTTTTGCCGCATCGTTACCCGTTCCGACGTAAGTATCGCATTTTTGGTTTCTTCTCTTCTATAAACACAGCTTGCTTGAACTGATGTCGGTCCAACATTTCTCGGCTTTAGGAGACATTCGGGAGTTAAGGCATCCCTCAAATCATTCGGGCGCCCTTATCGAACCCATCAAATGTATACATCGATGATGAAGATCAAACCAAACGGTACCAAGCTGTCGAAAATCGGAAAGTTCCGAAGTCATTCTGCCTCCAACAACCACAAGAAAAAAACTCATGTTATCAAGGCGAGTGGAAAGGGCCCCAAACGCAGCAGAGCTACCAAACCTGCGAAAGGCTCCGCGAAAGGCGCGAAAGCATCTAAAGGTGCCAAAACCACCAAAGCTTCCAAAACCGCCAAAGGTACAAAAAACGTAAAAGCTTCTAAAGGTGTCAAACCCGGCAAAGCTCCTAAAACCGCCAAAAATTCAAAAAACGTAAAAGCTTTCAAAATCGGCAAAGCTTCCAAAACTAAGAAAGGTTCCAAAAGTGCTAAATCAGCCAACAGCGCGAAAAAAGTTCTGGCCACTAAAATCAAACATTGGAATTCGCGCAAGGACAGCATTTTCCAATCAATCCACTTCAAAGGCCCATATAAATCCCTCGGTCGCAAACCCGTTCCTAAGGTGATCACCCCTAAGATCGCTGCAATGCGACGAAGACTCGCCATACGACACTTCGCAAGGCTGGCCAAACGAGGCCCATTGGGTATGTTTCTTGCTTAAACCCGAATTCGCAATCACCCCATTTCTTCTTTTGACTGACGTTCTGATTCGGATTAGACTCACCACTAGCCACTCTCTTCGGAACAGCATCATCGACCGCCGGCTCGCTTCCGGTAGTCGGTATTCCACTGACGAGCCTTTTATCGAGCCTGCCGACGAACTCGTTGGCCTCTCCTGGTGCGGTAACCGGCCTCCTAAGCACACTGACGAGTGTGGGGCAGAACGCGCCGTTTGCGGAACTGCTCAAAATGTCTCCGATCAGCTCCATCCTCAGGGGCAACCCACTGGACAACGTCAAGAGCTCCCTCTCTGGCCTCTTCATCGGCATCCCCGTCCTCGGTGGCCCGCTGACAGGACTCTTTGGCGCCGTAACTGGTGCCGCTAGTTCCCTGTCTATATGATCATTCGACACGGGGTTTACCTCGCCTTCAGTCGCTCTCCCCCTCTTACATCTAATCTCTCTAGTTAATCACCCCTCAATGAGGCGAAACTTCAACCCTGTTCGAGGAGTAACTCCAATCAACAACATTTACCAATCCCTTGGGACGCTCCTCAAGCTTCGGAAAAATTCAGATCTGATTGCCGCAAGAAAAACTGATTAAGTCCGCATAAAGGGGCGATTGATTGAATGTCAGCAGAAATGTGCACGATATTCTTTGTATTTTCCTCGAACGTAGATCTCTTGCTGAATTGTAGCTGCAAGGCAATGTTTCGAAAGTGCCCAGATAAATTTTAAAATAAAACTGCGCAGACTGCTGTTGATCATCAGTTTGCCGATGAGTCCTTTTTGGTTGGTAAATCAAGCTTGTATCAAGCATACTTCCCAAGAAAAGCCTGTACGGATGGTACAAGCATGCAGGTCAGGGATTTTCCTTCAAGGCTTGTGCAGCTGTAACCAGATTGTTAGGAAGAGTTTCTCCTTGACAATGAAGTAAGCCGGCCCCCTTCAGCATTTGAGAAGTGACACTTTTGTGTTGTGAAATTAAGAGCAAACTAATACAAATAACACACATACCTACTTGCCCTGAAGACAGCCATGTAGCACATGTAACATGGATCCACAAGCAATGAGTTTTTCATTCAGTTAGCCCTGTGTTTACCTTGTTTTACCCTCTGCACTACTGGGGAAATTTCAAGGTTTGGCTTCGATTGAAGCAGCCTGTGGAAAAACCACACAAAGAAGGACTCGTCGTATTGTGATTACTGTATCCGAAGAAGAAGATGAAGCGGTTGTTTTCAAATATTGGTACAGCAGTATGAGAAAAGGGACAACAATGGGGGTGATGACTTTGCTGGCATAGCCGACCTTTACTCTTGAGATTAGCACTACTTTTAAAGCGGTACTGTGCAGCGGAAATGCATGGTAGATACCAGGCCATGCTAAAATTCTATTTTGTTTCTACCACCTTGGTTCCTCCATTCAACTAACTACCATGCCTAAGAATTATCTCCCATGATGGAGGAAGGAAGGGGATTCTACACTGGCCAGGGACCCTAAATCCCTCCTTCTATTCTATTGAGAGAATTTTTAATTTCTTTTTGTCCACATATATTTTCTCAGGGGAAATATTCAGTGCCTGAAACAACTGAAAAAAATCCACACAGATACCACTGCACTGGAGCTCAGTCCAATGCTACTGAAATCCAACTCCAATGACCTCTGTATGTGCTACAGGTTGGCGTGGATATGGATCTATATGGATAGGTTTATTGTGAATGAAACCTTTACAGTTACAAATTCATATGTTGGAGTGCAGGTTTACTTTTGCAAAGCTTTCCTTTTGCCAATTCAATGGACCAATATCACTTGTGAAATCACCAATAAACATCTTCTATCCATAAATTCACTTAGCTTATCCATAAATTCACTTAGCTTAGACCTTCCAAAACCTTTAGTTTGAGGATGATCCACACACTGAATTCTACAAGAAAAGCTCTCAAAAATAGGCTCATGTCAAAGCTTGTTTAGTTCTGTCATGGGCTCAAAGATGGCATGAAAAGCAGAATAGGTGCTTTTCTAAAATGAAAGGCTGAAATGAAAGATATAAAGAGTGTGGATGGTAGGTCGTAGATCAAGAGCGAAAACAGTGCTAAAACAATGCTAGTTGGAAATGGCTGAACCGGGGAATAGATAATCTTGATCAACATCCTTGTGGATTAAGTAAAAAGAGAAGGGAAGAAAAGAGCATCCCAAGGAAAAGAGTCATATTAAAACGAATTGAACAAAGATTATTATTTTTGTTGAAAGAAAAAAACAGGACATCCGATGCAGCCAACTAGAAGACAAAATTCAATTAGCTCGAGGCTGTTCACTGCCCCACCATGCCTGTTCCATGTCATCTTTGGCAGACTCCTCATGCCCCTGCTCAGAACCGTCTTCGAACTTGACAGTCTCTTGATATCCATTACTGACTGCTCCGTCATAGCTGGTGGCTGTACCCCCGCTTTCGCGATTGAAGTTGTCCACAGTTCCTGCACTGTCAGATCGCAAAAGTGAACGTCGCGAATCTTCGCCCTCTGGTGCTGACGTGTCTAGCATTGTTGACGGCGTCAAGCTTAACGGGTTGTGGTCCGAGACATGTTTTTGTTCGGTGGTAGATAAAGGACGTGGACCAAAGCCGTCGCTGGAGGGTGTGACAACCATCTCGTGGGGCTCATCATCGCTTGAAGATTCGTTGGGGGAAGCTAGGTCATCGGAGGAATTGAAAGTGGCGGTTAAACCCTCGAGACGTTTGAGGAGGGTGACTCCCCCTAGTGAAAAACGCGTGACCGGGTCGACTGGAGACATTGCCGATTCCGGGGAATCGGAGGAAACATCAAAGCCAGCCTGGGAATTCACTTGAATCATTTCAGGCGGTGATTCTGTGGAAGGCGCTTCCGTAAAAGTCCCAAAGCCTTGGTCGACTTTCTTGGCTGCGCGGCGACGAGAAGCAAAAAGAAATGCACCAAGCGCCAAAGCAATCAACGCCAGAGATCCAAAAACACCGCCAACGGCTGCACCTGTGTGGTTTGTTGGGCCTGCGGCAAAGACGTTGGCAGGCGTGTTCCCTAGTTTGCTAAAAATCGAGTAAAATGTGTAAGCATCAATTTAATGAATTGGAAATGCAGCGAAAAAATCTTACAGGCCATGTAAGTTATTGGCTAGTGAGGTAGCGTTAGTCAGCGCTGTGGCGTTATTGAGGGTATTGTTGTTCAATGCAGTCGCATTGGGGACTAAGTCCAGAGTGACGTTCATTGATGGGGAGGGTTGTTGAGGAATGTTGCTGTTCACAGTCTGAATGTTAATTGCAGACAATGGCTGAATTCCTGTGCTAGTGTTATCGCCGGTGGAGGGTAGGGGGTCATTGGCTGTCTGCACAGTTTCTTGTGAAGGGGGAGTTGCCTGCGATGCAGAGGTGATAGAGTCGGTGATTGGGGTTGCTGAATCCTGCGAAGTGACATCCGATGGGGTTGTCGAATCTTTCGACGGGATTGAGTAAGCTGGTGGGGTGCTTGAGTCTTCTATGGATATCGAGTCCTCGGGCTCAGGCGAATATGGTGTTTGAGATACTTCACCTTCAACGGGAGGTAAATCGGTAGTTTGAGCTTGCGGCGCTTGGGTAGGAGGTATTCCAGAGGCTTCAGGTGGTGAAGATTTGATCTCTTTCAGATTGGACGATAAGGCTGCAGCATGGACAATTGGAGGCCCCCGCGAGGTTTGTGGTACGCTTAAGGTATTATCGGATCCGTGACTTGGGATGACAGCATGCGCTGACACGATTGGTAAAGCAGCCGTATGGTTGTGAGATGATGCAACGGGAAGGGGGTGAATTGAATTAAGCAGTGGGGCTGGATGATTGACAGCAGGTACAACGGCATGAACGGGCACAATTGTTTTGGCTGGCGGATGTGCTGGAGGCACAGCTACTGGCGGAGTCTGAGAGGCTGGGGGAGAAGGCTTGATGGGGGCTTGCGCCAATGGTTTGATGGGAACCACGGTCGCCGGTACCGGAGCTTGAACAGCGGGCTTCGCTGGATTAGCAAGAATTGGTGCGGGCTTGGCAGAAATTGCTGCAGGGGGCTTGATAGCAATTGGAGCTTTAAGAACGGGAACATGTGGTTTGCTTGGCACTACCTTAACAGGATTCAGGGGCTGCACTGGTTTGAGGGGGATAGCTTTAATCGGCGGCGGTTTCGCCAGTGTGAGCGGTGTAGCAGGTTTCTTGATGATTGGCTTGATGAGTTTAAAAGGCTTGTGAATGACAGGTTTGATAGTTTTCACAATGTGATGAAGGGGCTTGACGGCTTTCTTCTTCATGGGCTTTTGAGCCTTCTTAGTAGCGCGATCGTGAAACAGGAAATTGGGCTCGGAGTCAGCCGATGGGACGTTCTCATTCTGTGGAGTCAAGAATTGCTCAATCGATGCGTTTAGTTCATTTTCCAAATGGCATGATCCGCCGGGGCAGAGCTTGACAGAAACATCAGCATTGATGCCTGGGGAAAGTCCGGGTTCACCGCGCAATTCCCCACTCGGGATTTCGGATAGAGAAGCCCGACGAGGTAAGGTGGAAGTGTGGTGTTGAGATTGAATGAAAACGATGCGCCGTGCATGGCGAGAGCGGGCAGACCTGACGACTTCATTTGAGACAAACATGGTGCAAAAGGATAATGGTATTGTACCGGATTGTCCTAGGCCGTTAGACGAGAGGGGCGGTTCGGAAAGTTCGGGCGACGTGGCTTATAGACGACTGGAATCATACAGAGGAGAAAGAAGTCAATGTCACGCCCATCCATAAGATGAGTTTGTAAACATACTCACATGAAAAACGAAGGACAACGGGCACAAGGGCGACGGTCGTGAAAAAGTGAGGAGAAGGGGGGTATTGAGAACTTCGGTGATGATGAAATACCGTAACAAGTTTAAGATGCGGTGGATAGCTAGCTTGATTGTGATGAAGAAGAAGGATGGCCGGTGAATAGGGAATGTATCAAGGAAATGAATGAAGGCTGAAGGTAATCAATGGACGATTGATGAGGATGTCGAAAATGAAAGGATAGCACACCGGGCGTGCGAGGATAGACTGAGATTTATGCGGAGGGGAGTACTTTGTTTAAATCAACAGTGTTACGCTGGACAGGGAAGAATGAAATCCCGGGTAATTAAAGAGTTTTATGTGAGAGGAATTAATGAGCTAGGCAAGATAAGAGGCTTGGGATGGAAGGATCACTTGATAAGTGGGGAGAGTGGAGCTAAAAGCTGCGTATATGGGGAATCAGGCGGTTGTGTGGTATCAGGAGACCAAGACAGATGTTTTGGTGATGTCGTGAAGTAAGTGGACAAATGGAGAATGGTGATTGCTTAACGGATGATGATGATGGTGCCTTTTATGGTGGTGGGAAAGATAAGGAGCGAAGTTTTACCACCAACATGCGAGTATGATTCAGGCCAGTGCTCAAGACAAACAGCCAGATAAAATGGAGATGGCGGGAAGGATGATATCTGAGTAGATGGCAGGTTAAGTTGAAATTCCAATCCGGCCAGCGAAAGGGCTGGCTGGAAAGCAACAGGGCAATTTGTATTGGCCGAGTAAAACAGTGGTGCAAAGCATCCAGCTACGTTGTGAATCCAACCGCAGGTGCATTTGACCGACTCACAGGCCTGAAAGCCATCTGGGGTTGGACCCAGTCCTATTCGAACGAGAGATACCAATTGTCAAGCTCGGGATTTTTGGGCTGACTCTGGTTCGGAAGATAAGTAGAGCGCGCCGCTCAGGCCATCGGTTCGGAAAGGCGAGGATACATAGCGATGAATGTGTCTCCGAATAGCAGGGCTCTCGACGACTTCTGATAGCCTCTGGCTTTGAGAGAAAGCTTCCGGAATCTTCACCTCAGAAAGAGGCCTGGATCTTAGGCAAACAAGTGAACAATCGTTCCCTACTGTATAACCACTACCTGATGGATGTAAGTGGCCTGAGGTCATCTGGCGGGTCTACACTGGCATCAAGTGTGCTCTCCAATTCTTGACTATTACATTCCAACCGAAATAGCAAAATGATTCTTGTTGAGACTGTCAATGTTTGTCCTAGCAAGCGACCACCGGGCTTGGCAAAGGCGGAGAACGCGTATTGACTCCGCGGACCTACAGCCTGCATGAGCTGATGTTGGTATGTAATACAGCCCATCCATCACAGTCCATTTGAGACGCGCTTGAATCTGTCCATGCCGCATTGTGCTTACTCCGAGTCTCCGGGAAGCATATCCGCGACTTCCAATTTCCCTTTCCAACGAAGTCGCGCCCTGGGACCAGCTAGGGCCCACCTGAGATTGACCCTCTCCAGCAGGGGGAGGGTCAACATGTCACGTAAGCCCTCCAAACCAGAACCTGCTTCGATCATCTAGCGCCCCTGCCGACTCTGCCTGAGTGCAACTAGAGTTGAAAGTTGAAACAGGTCAAAAGAAACTGAATGAAGAATAATAAAAATCTAGAGTTGCCAAATTGACCATTTATCTAACATTTTGCTAGATATTCTCTTTTACTATGACTGGAGTCACGATGAAATTGAAAAGTCTTGCTGAAGAACAAAGTAAAGAAACAAGGGAAGGAATTGGAAGCACGGAAAGCAAGAACAAGTGAGAGAAAGAAAGAAGAAAGTGGAGATCATACAGTAGAATAGGGAATGCTATGAAAATTATGAAATGGGTGTGACATGCCATGAGGTTGAGATGTGAGTTTGAAACAGAATGATGACACTCTCCATGCCTGGAGAGCTCCAGAGCTTGAAGTTGTTCAATTGAAAGTTTTGAAAGGATTTTGAATTGAAATTTTTGAGAGTTTTCTTGCAAGTGCGTTCACTATCATTTTTTGAATTCTGGTGAATATTATCTTGTTGTCTGTGACGTGTTATCTATGCGTATGACCCTTGATTCTCAGATTGATATTCCTTGCCTATGGATTAGATCCAAATTTGTTGAGTTTATCATCTAGCACCATTTTAAGATTGACAAGAAGAACCCTGAGGGCCTGTACCACAGCCCCAACTTTGAGGTCAATTTCCAAATTTCAAGTTGAAAAATTGACCCCATGGCAAATGATGTGCCATGCAAACCCAATTCCCCACAGTACAGAAGCTAGATGTTCAGTTCCAAACCCAAATTGGATTTTGTTTGGCAAAGAATAGAAAGATCAAAAATGAAAACAAAAATGAAAATTGGCTGGGGTGATATGGTACAGGCCTAACCTAGCACCTTCATGGAATGAGGTCAAGCTCAGATGATGTCAAAGAATTAGTGTTTGTTAGTTGAAAACAGCTGTCCAAAGAGATGAGAGAACCAAATGCATATCAATGATCCCCAACTTGATAACTTTGATGGTTTTCATGGCCACCTCATCTTTGTAGATGTGAAGAATTTCACAACTACTTTCAACTTCATGAGTCAGATTCTGTTTTTTTGTTGCTTTCAATTACTGGAAAGTTTTTCCAGCTTCTTTCAAGTTCCAAGAAGAAGAAAAAAAAAACAGCTCAACCAAGTATCCCAAGTATCAACCTAAACTGATGATGGAAAAGATGATAATTGAATGTGTTTAAATGGAAATAAGTTTCATCAAGCATATGTTGAGCTTTATTCTTTTGAATTTACGTTAATATTTGTTGTAAATTGGAGGGTTTCTTTGGTTGGAGATTATGTGGGAGTAGATTGGGCCCAGGGGATGGATTGACATCCATGAAGCCACATTTTGTCATGCCATCATGAATGCAATTTGGCTGTGAAAACGGAATCTTCTTACAGTGACCTCACCTTATAAGCATGATGCACTGTAAGAGCAACTTCACAGGGGCTTCTATCTCACATTTGGCAACCTAGAATAAAAAAAAATCACCCACTGGAGATCCCATTGGCCTCACCATTTTACATTTTTCATCCTTTAGACTTGAAGACTTGATAGCAACTTTGGACCTAGGAGGATCACAGGATTTTTCTGGCTTCCTTTCATGAAACCAAAACACTGTGTATCACCACCCTGCCCAATCACTGGATAGCAACTCTATCTTGACAAAAGCCAGTACGTGCATTGGCACTTTGGGACTTCAAAGCTTGAATTCTGGTTGCTATTGTGCAAATATAGTGAGTTTTGTGGAGTTGCTCTAAGCAAAGCATAAATAGTGATTTCCAGCAACCATCTTCTTAGTTTTTCAGTGAAATTTACTCAATAAGAAACATACCCCTATGTAAACATAGGATTGGTGTTGGTCATCCTCATGCTTACATTGTAGGTTCACTTTAGTTAACTTATTTTTCCAAACTTCATACCAAAGGTTGTATTGGGTTTTTGACAATTACGTTTTGTGAAAGGAGTGGCATCCCAGGTGCACTCAGGATGTATTTCCCCTGTGCTGAGCACCAACTATCTCATCCCCAACTACTTGATTGATCATCATCATCATTGAAACAACCAACTCACCACCTCACTGCCAGCATAATTGGCTGGGTTGTGTGTATCCTATTTTAACTGGGATACACATGAACAATTTAGACTTGGTTGGTGTCCAACCAATGAAATACACTACCAAGGGTGGATTTATATTTCATTGGTTGAGATGCTAGTCTACCAAGTTTAAATGGTTGATTGCATTCCAGTTTGGCTGGTATATATTCAACCTAGCTAATTATTATCCTGGAAGGGCATGAAAGGAAAGTCCATATAAAATAGATGGAAGTGTTTGGACAGTGAGCTCAGGATTGGAAAAATGGCCATTTCTGAAACAATTCCTTGGTCAGCCCCTCAGTGGATAAAAGGAAGTATATTCAGAGAGATTTATGTGGGGCTATCACTCAACAAGAAACACAACCAAATTATGAGTCCTTCAAGAACTTTGTTGAAGCTCTAAGCTCTTTAAGTCTTAGTAGGAAACACCTGTAAAATCAGCTTTCAAGCAACAAAAAAAAATGATGTATAATAAACTAGGCTTAGATGTAGATTTAAACTGGCCAAAAACATCAGAGAAAGTAGCTTCACAAGTAAATGCTGAAAACCAAAGATTTTCAGCTTATAGGGAAGAACTTACCAATTTCTAGCAGTTCTATTTTGACAGATGATGTCATTGGCTACAAGAATGTGTCATTATGACATGGGGAGATAGAGTAAACTGTGTTCAAAACAAGCATCTCTGTTGTATTACATCAAACAGAAATTCTGGAATATTCTATGAATGCCCCTGAGGGGGCATCTAGAATATGCAAGGAGGCCTTCTCTGGCCTTGGATTGGTTCCTCAGAATATTTGCCCACAGAATATGTACTTAGAATTGCCACAAGTGGTGGTGAGCTGCTCCTTGGCAATTATCATTGCTTCCAAACCCTTGCAATAACTTCATGCTATGATAATTAGTGATGTTCAAAGTTGGTGCATAGATTCATAAATCATTTTTCCACAGAACTGCTTACATAATACATGTCTGAATTCATCTATGAACAACATGATTCATGAATTTGTGTTTATTCATCTATGGTCCAACTTTGAATACACCACAGGTCGTGAGCGACGTTGAGCCCACATCACCCGTTTCGTCGGCCTCACTCGTCTGACCCCGCCCAAAAAAATGGCAGGGCTAAGAGCGGGAGGTGTCGGATGCCGATGTCAGCCCAACTTGTGATGTGGGCCTCTCGTCGGATCATGTTGTGGGCATGACCGCGACGGATGGTCCTCGCTGGGTCATGCCGTGGGCCTGACTTCCAACAAGAAGGAGACGTCAGCGGCCCCTCGTTGGTGTAACGGGTTGCAAAGAAGTTGGGAGGCTCGGTCTTGAAAAAGAGTTCTGCTCCCTTGGATCGAACCTGCTACCTACACCCATGCTGGTGCTGGGCAAGCCTGATGATTGGAGCAGATCATGCAGACATCAATCAACAAGGGAACGTAATTACCGCTACACATGATCGTTCTTCCCTGCGAACGCATTAGCAGCTATATTAACTAGAATTCCATTAAATCTTCGTCAGAAATGTGGCATTTCCGTTGAAGACATTGGTTTTTTTATTTTATTTTTTTACATTTTGAAACACAGGTAGCCCCTTTCTTGCATGGAAAGAGGCCCAGAAAACTCATTTTTAGAAAAGGTTTTTTTTTAAAAAGCCTATCCAAGTCATGCCAACGAAATCGGGCATGACATGATCCCCACCGGCGCTGAGCTGAAGCCCAACACACAGCCATCATCGGTATCATCACCGCATGTTCGTGTCGGGCCTGCCTTTGGATCACGGCAGATGATCCTGATGTCAAGACATCAGGATCATTCACGGTGATCCAAAGGTCGGCCCGACCTCAATTTCATGACAGCCCACAACCGCCGTCAGGTCCAGGGAAGACAGGTCATTGCCGACCCGTGCCAACCCAATCTCAACTGCGCTGTGGGCCTGTCGAGCAGGAATGGAAATTATCGACCTGTGGTGTACCCCTGTTGTCTCTTTCAGCATTGCGAAATAGACAGATGAATAAAAAAACAAGAATAGAAAAGGCATGAAAAAAATTCAAGAAAAATCATACATTCTAGTTCTGGAGTACTCTTGACAGATAAAAAATGATCCCATTCATCTTTGGTGCATACTGTCTTGATTGCCTGTCAAAAAAAAATGTGCATTTTGGTAAGCCCCATCAACATAGGGGTTTTAATCCAGGGTCATGCCTCTGCTGGTCTTTCCTAGTCGGTGCAGGTGCATTGTTTGTCTCAGCCTTCCAAGCTTCAGTGGGAATTTTTGTCTCGGTTGATGTGTTGCCTGTGGAGGAGGTTCAAGGGCTGAGTTTCTACACTTGATGTGCTGGTACTGTCTACGCGCTCGAGGTCTGTCTTGCGAGTGTCACGAGCACGACGCGACACTGTTGAAATTCCCTGCGCGCCTTGACTTCTTCCTGGTCCAGAGCCCAGCCCATCGACCATTCTCATCTTCATTCCCCCTTTCCCCTTGAATTCAGGAGAGACAACTCGCTGATTACTATTCTTCCAGACCATCGTCGCTCTCGTCCCGAATTCGAACAGCCCAACCGCCTGGATCGAGATGGCAGGATTTTGTCGGAGATGTGGCGACATAATCAGAGGCAGTGATTCCCGATGCAAGTGTGGTGGCTCCAGTGCTTGTGTGTACCATTTTTTTCTTTTTTAATTTATCTATTTTTTCATTAAAATTTGATAGCAAACCCGTTAATTACTTTCTCTTTTTGTCCATCCGTGCGTTGCATTTGCCCGATGTGATGTATTCAGCTTCACAGGTGACCAAGGCTATGTTCGAAACAACTGATGGATCGCCCAAGCATGACCGATGGTTAAAGACCTATGGAGAAAGGCGCAGCGTGAGCCCAGCCTCGGCCCTCGCCTCCCGATCTCAATCCAAGCCGACTACGCCGTCTCAACTTCAAAAAGCTTGCTTGTCTTCACCTGGAATCTCAACTCAACCGTTGGCACCAGCTTCTGGAAAATCGCGAGATAGTTTAGCCGACCGAAGCCTAAACATCATGCCTTCCGAAACGGCCGCTCCACCCACTCTTTCGGAAGAACCCATCTCCGAGCCTATCGCGCCCAAGGAAGTCAAGCGTGGCTTGTCGGTCAAGTCCTCTGCCCGGGCTCATGTGCGCTCTCTAACCGCAAACATGCCTGATTCGGTAGATCTTTCGGCCGCGGAAGAGGAAGTTTTGACAAACGTTTTTGGCTCAGTCTTAGATCCTCATGAAACTCGCGGTCGGTGTGGCGCGTGTCAGCAAATCTTCAAACGCGAAGGTAAGATTTATCCAGATCCTAGACGAGAAGACGAGAGTGGACAATGGGCAGGCGTATTTTATTGTCGAAAATGTTATGTTCAACGGTTCAGCCGTGGTAAATGCGCGTCTTGTCAACATACCATTGTTGGAGATGAGGGCACCTTCATTCAACTTGGGAAAGGAGGCTGTGATGGGCTATGGCATAAGGTTTGAAGCTACCCTTAACATCCCACTCACTCAGATTATTTCTGAATGCTGATTATCTGCTTGTGGTCATATCCCCACTTACCCAATACCAGAAATGTTTCAAATGTGTTCATTGTCAAACAGACGTCTCGAATTCACCCAGTGTCGATCTCAGCGGAAATCCATGTTGTGACGAATGTTTTGAAAAACCTCAGCACTCAAAGGCAACCTCCAAACCTTCTATGGTCACAGACATCCCTGATTTACGTGTCCAACCAGTCGGTCAAAATCGTACGAAGCGCATCAGCATCAATAACTCACCAGCAGCTCAAAACATCAGACCGGCCGTCGATGAGCTACGGAATAAGCTGAGGAAGGCTGGAATCGAAAAAGAACCCGCCCGCCCATCCATTCCATCACTCGCGGGCGCCGGGAGCACAACACATAAGAAGCATGAAAATGGCCTATCGGCTTCCGTTACCCCCACCATCTTGCTGCCCTCCGTCAAGCCTTTGTCGATAGTCAAACCCAATCTCAAATCTCCAAAAGCAGACGGTCTTCGTACTTCCACCAGTACGATGTCGTCGTTTAGATCTAGCCCCAAGATAACTTCAACGGCAACACAACATGTGTTGTCACCTTCAGCAAACCCGCTTTGCCCAACTTGCAAGCTATCTCTTTTCCGGCCATCTTTGAACCAAACATCGTCTGAAAAATCTTCCGGTGGTGCTGCGGAGAGAATTGGCGGAACGTTGGCCACCTTGCCTGCTACTGGAGAGACATTTCATGTCCACTGTCTCAAATGCGATGACTGCAAGCAGGCGTTCCCCAACCAGAAATATGTCCTTCTCGATAACCTGAAGCTGTGTGAGCGATGTGTTGCGCAAAGGGATATGATTGCGGCTCAAGAAAAGTTCGAGAAGATGAGCGCAAAGCTGGCAAAACAAAGGGATGACTCGGTGTCCACTCGATTTCCAGCTTACCAAAGCTCCAAGGCCACCAAGGAATGGCATCTGGCCCACTCCGAATCCGTCAGCCCCTCGTTCCCGTCGTCCCACTCATTCCAATCCACCCATTCGAATCATCAAGCCGGCGGAACTGCCTCAATGACTAAAAGCGCGTCCGAGAATCCTCAGCTGCTCAAGAAAGTCTCGACCTCGCCCTTTCTGGGTGGACAGGATGGGAGCTTCAAAATCCCGTCACCGATGACCAAGAGCCTGAGTGCGACCCGCTTTGGAGGCCAGTCGATCTGTCCCGGATGTTCGAAGCCTGGAACGATCACGGAGACCAAACTAGGACCCAATGGTCAACGCTGGCATTTCAAGTGTCTGAAGTGCGTCCAATGCCATAAATCACTCGACTCGGGCGCCAAGACGTTCGACGACTCAGCGGCCGTTGGATGTAGGGACTGTCTGGTGCGTTTGCTTCCTCAATCGGTACAGCTTCCCGTGTCGCGATCTGTTCATGCTGAACTGCCTTGGTTCTTGTTCCTCGTTCCCAGGGTAAGGCCAGAGCCAATAAACGTGCGAGTACATCAATGCAACTCCGTTGATTGACTTTCACTTCGTTGAGCGATGTATGTGTCGCGTGTCGGCTCAATTTCCTCCGAGCTAGCTATATGTCCAAGTGGCACTGTCATTTGCTTTCCGACTGAGCTCACAGGCGAGCCGTAACAAATTCTTATCTTTCGCTCACTGATCTTTGTATGTATGGTAACCGAGAACTAATATGATGATTGTAAGGCGATACTTGCAGTGACCTAATATTAATTGTATCATCGCATCGTTTTTCTCCTGTTGGTTTTCTTTCCTCTCTTCTCATTGTTTATCATAGTTCTTGTCACCCCTAGTTGATTTCCTGTGCGACCGAAATAATTGACTTTTTTTCTTTGTTGTCTTTCTTGCCAATCAGCATCTCATACGTAATTCATGTAGAAAATCACTCAACATGTGACTCGTGTAATAACAGATCAACCAATCCATTCGCTGATTGGATCCAACAGATTTGCTCAAACATGTGAAAAATTTATAAAATTCCAATTTCGACCATAGGTGTACAACTTTGTTTTTCGGAAGGCTTGGTTGCACCTTCGTGGCCAGAATATGTCTCGACTGCCAAAAATATCTAGATGGATCAAACTAAGCCAATGCTACTCTGATGAACACCTAAACGACGGGCGGTACGTTGCCGATCTCCTCGGCCACACACGCCCAGGATCAAACAGTTCATTAAGAAGATAACTATTTGCGACGGAAAAATGGAAAGTCAATCTAAGGATTATTGCAGAACCAGTTCATGATGAGGTAACACTAAAGTGATGGGATGTATATCTATATATATATGTTGAGAGGCCACAGCAAGATTGTCTGTCTACAAACACTTTCGATGAAAACATGGGGGCTTTGTCTCACGAAATGAGGATGTGAATCTTTTCAAACAACGGAAGGTATCCGCCAGAATTCACAGTTTCGAGCTGGGACGATCAGACTCCTTTGGGCTCGTATAGAGCGGGATCTCGACTCCTTGGATGGTGCTCAAGATTCGTTTGAGAACCTTTCCACTGGGCGACTTCGGGATGTGTGAGGTCAGAATGATGTTTCCTCTCAACCTATCAAATTCATCCACATCCCGTCGGTTGCCGACGGGTTGTATTCGCGCAGGAAGAAAGAAATCAGACTTCTAGTAAGCACCCCGCTTTCTTTTGTTTTTTGTCTGCCAAAGAAAAAATGAAATGAAAGAAAAAAAAAGTGTGTGGCTGACCACTTATAATGAACCATGTGAGATTCGACAAATTCTTTGATTTGAAGGGCCAGCTTTGTGAGATCATTGTACCGGGGATGGAGCGCCGGGGAACGATGGCTATTGTCGACGATTTCACACAGCGCAGTCAGCTCGGCACCTTGCGGGACGATGTAGGCCCTGGGGAACTCAGTAGCTTGATCGTCGCAGTAAAAGGAAGTCACTGCGACCTCGCCGACGGCGTCGATCTTGCTAATCAACATCTCCAAGTCTGAAGGAGACACTTGATATCTGTACACCATGGAATCGCGTCAACTCAGGTTCTTTGGAGTGGTGGAAGGAAAACGGAGTCCTTACTTACCCCTTGACCATGATGATTTCTTTCAGCCTCCCGGTGATAGAAAGTCTTCCGTGGCTATCAAGAAAGCCCAGATCGCCGCTGTAAAGCCATCCCTCTCGATCAAGCGTCTGGCTCGTTTCCAACGGATTGTCGAGATATGCACTCATCAAGCTGGGCGATCGAATGACGATTTCACCCTCTTCGTTTCTTGCAGCCAGCTGCTTGGTGCGGACCGAGAGGATCTTCAGCTCGACGCCGTACATCACTTCGCCCACCGTCCCCAATTGGGGCAGCAGGTCGGAGATCGTCGCACCGAGCTGATTGGCCACATGACCCGCTTCTGATAACCCGTAACCCTAGCGAGACACGATTCCTTCTTGGTCAGTCCTCCGGGGCTTTCAACTTGATTCACCATCTAGTAATGACACAATCTTTGCACCCACTGATTTCACCAAAAAGCCGCATCTCTTGAACACTGCCTTGACAATATCCGGTGCCAGCGGCGCCCCGCCACTCATCGAGTTTGTCACACTCCTCAAATCATAACGCCCGTCGTCCAACAGCGGAGACTTTGCCAAAAAGGCGGCTATCGGAGGCGCGATTTGCAAGGAGGTAATCCGGTTCTTGGTGATCTCCTCCAAGTATCGCCGAGGTTCAAACTTCTGCATGATGTACACTGTCGAGCCTGCGGCTATGGAGAACAAGACAATAGCCTGGAGTCCTATATTGGTGTGGTCAGTCCAGGACAAAAAACAAGAGATAGAAGTTCAATCCAGATGTGCGATACGTAGTGAATATGGCCGCCTAGACCCATTATATTATATCACATCATCAAATGGACTAACCCATGACATGACAGAACGGGACCAAGCCGATTGTCCTTTCATCCGGTCCATAGTCGAGTTTTTGGTGCCAAAAGGAAATGATCGAATGGACCATCGCGTAGTGACTGAGCAGGACGCCTTTGCTCTTCCCGCTGGTTCCACTGCTCCAGATGATGGCGGCAATCCTGAGCCTGGATTCGCGTGCAGGCTTGGAGAACTGGAATGGCTGGTAATCTGTGCCCAAAGGCGGTGGTTGCAGAAGCGTTTTCCAATCCGCAAACGTTGCAATTTCTCCGTTGGGCGCCTTCGTTTGGGAAGTCTTGGAGTCTTTGAAGAAGCAACTTGGAAGCCGGTCCGTGGTCGGGGAATCGACGATGTAGATATGCTCCATCAACCACCTTCTGAGTTGGGGCTCTTGGAGTAAGGACAACGCTTCGAGCATGGTTGTCAGGCCAAACGGTGAGGTGACGATCAACGCTGGTTTGGAAGCACGCAAGACATCCACCAGCTCGTGACACGTGTAGGAGGGGTTGACGGTCGTGAACGTTAAGCCAGCGGCCAGAGCTCCCAGAAGTATGGTCACGAATGGGATCCCATTTGCCAGGTAGAGCAGGACGACTGGTGATAGTAGGCCGGACGAACGTCCAGGCGGGTGGTCGGAAGCTTGTGAGGTGACTAGAGCAGAGGGATTGAGACCGAGTTGATGGTTCAATTGATAGCCTACGGCGGCGGACCTTTGCCGTAGCTGCAGCCAAGTCAATGGATGCTCTGTTTTGTGTACAGTAATGGTTTGTTTTTCAAGCAACGATCTCCAATCAGCATGTGTAATGACATCGTTGAAACATAGACTATCAGATCAAAATCAGCTCCAGAAAACAAACCGATGCTATCAGGATCAGAGTCCATAAAGATAGGCTTTTGAGGGGGGATGAGGGGTATATGGTGGGCTCGAGTGACTGGCGAGGGTGCCCGGGTGATGATCGGACTATCCTGCCGAAATGGATTGGAGAATAGGAACTCGTGCAACGGGCAGCAGGGGATTTCATCGCCCACCGGCCGGCTGGTCGAGGCTAGGAGTTGGTCTGGGTGAGTCATGGCCGGGCGCGTTGGGACATCCAACCAACGATTTGTCTCACTTGAAGTTCAATGAAATACGTAAACAGTTCGTTAATAGACAACTAGCTACCACGAAAAATATTGCACCAGTTAAGCATTTATCTGCTGTTAGAGATACAGAGGCTGAGGCTATGTACGAGATGATGGGAATGGATATATCGTCCAAAGGCTCCAGAGGCCGGGAAAAGGGATCGGTGAAGCTGAGATGCCGGGTGGTCTGCAGCGGCCGACTTCGGGAGCAAGCCAGGTGTCCAGAATTTCGGAAACAAGCCAGAGGAGATGGAGAAGGGCAGCCAGCAGCTCGCGCGTCAAGAAAAAATTCCAGAGGAGAGGGTCAGGCAGCGACAACGCATATGGGTACAGCCAGCCGCTGCTCTGGATGGTGGTGGTGCATGCAACTATCTCTTGACTTTTCCCCTGGCAGATAAGACACAGAGCCTTTTCCTGTCCGATACATCGACCGCTCGACCGAGAAGCCTCTAGCCTCCCCCAAGCCGAGGAACTTATCTCAACTCCGCATATGGCCTACGACAGCTCAGACCCCTGAATATTATGGCACTACCCAAGAGCTGCTAAACCATGTCGTGTGATGAAGGTTGCGAATGATTCGATTAATCGATACATCAGTTCCTGATGTTCGTCTCGGTTTGCTGAGGTTCGGCAGCCTGACGACCCTGGTGCCGGTGATGGTGTGTTGATCCTGTGATGACGGCCGGCTGACTGGCAAGCCTCATCGCGAAATCGGCACAAGTGATCGGATGATCCGATCCCCTTTGGGGCCTTTTTTTGGGATGGTCCGACGGATCACCAATTACGTACATAGGACAAGCCGGATCCGACTGAAGATCCGGAAGTGCTCCGTACTGTAGGGTTCTGTCCCGGGGCCTCAAGGAACCAGTGCTCCATTTCAAATTCTCAGAGACATCAGCTTCTTGGGTGTTTCTTTCATTTTCTTTCCTAACCATAGATCAGAGTCACAAAATTGTCTTTATCTTTCATATTTGTACAAAGTTTGTTTTGTGTTGAGAAAACTCAAAACCACAATCCAATCAATTCACAGGCACATGAAGAAGTGCATCAGGGAAATTGATGAGCTCCCAAAGTGTGCATGTATTAATTCAGGATACATCAAGAGACTGGTCATCTTCTTCCTACTTTCTGTAGAATTTCTTTAGTTTACTTTTCACAAATTTATCAGGCAGAAGTTTCAAAAAAATCTTCCTCCTTTCATCATCAGGATTGAGCTTCATTCCTTACTTGACGTACCTACTCATCCCATCTGACTGCAGCTTGCACTGCACTGCAGCAAAACTGCCTTACCTCCTTCTACCTCCATTCCAACCAAGATGAGATGGTGCAAGTATTTAAATATGCAAATAGGATTTGTAAAGTGTAGTCTTTCATGTTAGCTATAGATATGGCCTTTCAAGTTTGAGTTTGGATGAGTTGGCAAGGAAATTGGGTAAGACAGAGTGCACCCATTCTCTGGCAAAAGATTTGGATCCAGTCCTTCACGCCTCTGCCTTCGGGGGGACTCTGTCGGGATCGGGGGCAGGGTGATGTATAAGCATCGAGAGCAGTCGACACTTTCCCTGTCCACAGCAGCCTGTAGGAGTGCACATTGCCATCAACATCCAATCCGACATCATGGTAAGTCTAAATCACCATTGCCATTGATTTCTTTCCTGTCATGAAGCTAACAAACAGAAAGTGGGCAAATTTTTACTCGTGCAGACAACACTCGATCCGTCCCACTTCCCATCGCTAAGCCTCGCCTCAACGGACGATCGAACCCACGGCGCTGCCACCCACCCGGTCCGGCTCGACCATCCGGCGTCGTCCTCATCCGCTGGGCTTGACGAAGATCCGGATCTCCCGAGCCCCACATCCTCCTTCTTCGAGCCCAAAGAGCTCCCCCATCGATTGGCCACGCTTCAGTTACCCGATCTTCGCTTCGAACAGGGCTATCTCTTGAGTCTCATGCCCTTTTTCCACTTCCATCGCCCCACCAATCTCGATCAATCAAACCATGTCGATTGCAATCAAACCCGCCCTCCGTACGTCTTTGGGAAAGAGGAAGCTCCCATCATGGCCGTCCCCGATCTGACCTCGGCCGAGCCTGATAATTATTACCTCGGATCTAATTTCTACGTGGAGTGGAAGATGGTGGTGTATGTAACGCTGAGAGATCAGGTAAGCAGATAGCCTGAACCAGTCTTTATTGTTGGCCTTTCATTGAGAGATCCCACCAGCTGATTCCCGATTCTTGATGATGATCACTCCAATCGCAGCTCTTCTATCCGCTTCTTCAGGGCTGCTTATGGGGCTCCGCATCACTCGTCGTATCTCATTTCTGGAGAATCCGTGCCAATTACCGAAGACCTCCGAAACCTATGGCTAAGGTTCCTTCAGAGCAATCTCCAGGCCCAAGGCTCCCCAAACCGGAAACATTATAGGCCCGATTTGTGGGCACCATCTGGGGCGGAATTCAAACTAATGTAACACTATCCTGACGGATTTTGAGGCAGCGACTAGCCCCTCCTTTTTTTTTCTAGAAATGTATTAACTTAACTTAACTCGCAAGTAGTAGCCCCGCAGGGTTCACGTGATTTTGTAAGGATGCTGGTACCCAGCGCATTGTATCGGTTATTTTGATCAGCCTAACGCGCTCTGAATGTAGACCTAGCGAGTCAATCGTGGCACTTTCCATGGACTTTACAAACCCACTCCCTTGATGGGACCAAAACAGCCTCAGGCAAAATCAGAACAACAAGAATAAGATGATGGCCCCTCTGACATCACTGGGCCCCCAGGGCTCTAAGACAGTCTGAATCAACCTTTTGGGCCAACAGATACCCAAAGAAAAGGCAGGCACCAAAGCACACCAAAAAAAAAATGTTTGTTTAGGTGCACATCCATTTTTTGATGAATGTGGGTGCGTAACTCCCACAAACTTCATACATTACACAAAACAATTATCAATGGAACTACAACACTCATTGTTAATAAAGATATATGTAGTACAGGTATAGACAAAACACAAGAGGATATGGCAGTAAATACATACTAACTGAAACAAACATTTTTTTCCTTTCTTACATACACGTTAAAGATATCATTTTTGGGTTGTGTATTCTTTTTAAGCCAAAAGTAGTTGTCATTTTTTCTTTAAATTTGGAAGATGAAAAAAAGTTGATATAAATGTGAGTTAAGGGAAAGTGATCTTACATGATTTTTCTGTGATTGATTATTGTTTCTTTTTTCGGTTTAGATGGTGACTACAGAGCAACAAGAGACGATTGAAGTACTCATCCCGATTAAGGATATTATCGAAGCTCAAGACCTGTAATAACCCATTGAAAATTCAGGGATCGATGGCGCTTACATGAGTTTTAATATTGGAGCAGTGAACAACCGAACTGTCTGAATTGAGTGAGGCAAAAAGACTCGAAGTGGGGGAAATAGACTCAACTATTGAACCATCGAGAAGAAATTCGATCCCGTCGCTAATCCGAAAGCCGAATCCAAAAGCGAGCGAGCGTTTGACTTTCTTGATTGAGATAACATCCTTGAACTGGATGACCAAATCCGTCGAGCCCGGCCCACCAGCCGCCAGGTCTTCCACTCCTTCGCTGTGCTTGACACCCTCATCCATCCCAATTTCCCGACCACCAAGTTCCTCTCCACTGGGTTTGCGATCCAGGTCCAACTTCCTCAATGATGATGTCGAGGAGGAGTTCGTCGATAGGGTTCGCGTCCTGGGTGGCATGAGAACCGGCTCGGACTTGTTCAGTGTCGATTTCAAATTCGTCGTTTTCGTCCGGAACCCTTTCAATGGTTCAAAAGTGATCCAATCCCTGTGGACGGCCAGATTGCCTTTTTTTTTGGAAACACATTGCATCAGCAAGAAGCCCAATGAATTTGAAACTGATTATAACTGGTTCCAGCACTGCTGCTTTGTGAATACGGGGGTAATCTCAACTGGAATGGACTTACCAGGTACTTTGCCATTCAAAAAAGCAAACGTTTTAGGAGAATTTAGAGCTGTGCCCTCGACAGATTTGTTGGAATCTTTGGATTGATCATGCTCTGGATGAGAGTGTTCAGCACCTGCCTAGATACACGATGGCCAACAATTAAGCACGATTCATTGCGACTGGATCAAAGGAGAGAGGAAACACTTACATAGACCTTTCTTGCCAAGTTGGCAACCCCACTACTTCCGTGGACTACTTTTCGGCCCCATCTTTTCCAGATGTCAGGTTCTGGGACACTGCAGACGGCAGACGCCACCGATCTATCGGACGATATGATGCACCCCCTTTGAATAGGACTTGCAGGGTTTCCCGGGTTTTCGTCGGTCGAGTTTTCCCGTTTTCTATCAAATAAAGAGGAAGCAGATCTGCTCTTCTTGTGCATAAAATCGGACGGGTGACGATGATGATGTCTCTTGAATAATTTGCGATGAGAACCTAATGAGTGATGATTCTTTTGCCCTCTTTCTTGTAAAACTTCCAAGGCAAATTCAGAGTCGGTTGGGATGTCGTATAAGATCAACCAGATCGGATTTAGGATCTTTCTGAATTTCGGGTACTGGTCGGTGAATCCGAGTAGAAAGAAAAACTCGATCCCAAGCCATCCCAAGAAGTTTTTAACCATCCATTTTTGGGTGATCGCTAATGTGTAGAGTAGGATTCCTGTTAACATCAAACTCGTCCTCCAACATGCTCGTGGTCGTCTCCATAAATAAAGACTTGGTGATGGTGATTTGCAAAAACGGACCAGAAACAAAAAAAAAGGGAAAGCGATTGATGTTTTGTTGAGCGTTCCAATCAAGTTGTTTCTTCGAACATAAACATAAGTAGGGCGGGGGATCAGATGATTTACTTTCTTATCTTCTCACCAATGTCGGCCATATCCGCCAAGAGGTTTTCAATTTCGTGAGCATGTTCAGAATAGAGGCTGCGACTGAAACTATACAGGCTTCGATAGTCATGCTTTTTGGGTAAGCTATGAGAAGAGCTTGGAGGAGGGGCAGCGGGAGAAGTTCCCAGGCCGGGGATATTGGCGCCCATAGCCACCCCGGCAAAGACCATCGAGTTTCCTAATACGCCTTTGGTCACTGAACCCGACATGCCGCTCTTGTTGTCCAAGAATCCTTCTGATCCTATCTTTTCTGCTTGCTTGCCTAACTGGTGTCGTTGACTGACTTCTTGCCTCAGTTCTGAGATCGTCGGTGGATTGAGTTGTCGGTTAATCAGCCGATATAATATATATCCTACAATGAAGCTTGGGATCAAGTCCATAGCCCAAAGAAGATAATAAGTCTACTAAAAAAACCCAAATCAACTTGAATGTTTCGGACATGAATATGTTGAAAGTAGATGAAAATACTGACCAATAGATAGAATGCAGTCCTTCTTGGGTTTTCCCAACGGTATAACTTGCTGAGTTGGTTTCCTGATATGATGTCCCATAATTCGGGGAGGATGGCGACGTAGGAGCGAGACGCCTGAGCTTTGAGTCGGCTCATCGAGGTAGGTGTCCGGGTAGGACTGGAGAGGAGGGCATTGGGCAAGTATCGGTCGAGTTGGGCGGCGGCATAAGCGTTACAAAAGCCGATCCAATCGACCAGACCCGCAGACGATCGGAAGTCATCCAAGGTGGGTACTGAGAGCGTTGCTGTACCCTCAGATTCTAGAGTTTGGAAGTTGATTTGATTGAGGTACTTGGAGCTGCGTCTTAGAAATTCAGACACCTCGAGTGCTTCGATCTCTGCTAGCGTCTCATCGTAACTGTCTGGTTCGCAGTCTGAGCCATTGCGCCGATCGTCCGGAGTCGAATCAAGGCCGAATGAAGAATCTGAGGTGCTAGTTCGGACTGGCTGATGTGTTTCTTGCTGGCTCGAGTTGATCGGGGTAGATTGCCCTGGAGAACCACGCTGAGCGAGATGAGATGAGGGTGCGTGTGAAGGAGTTGATGACTCTGGGTTTTCTTGGGATGCTTTGGCAGCAGTGGCTGTACAAGTGGGATTCGGATTCAAGCAATCAAGAGACAATGAGTATGTAATCTGAAAGGAAACTTCTGGCTCGAGACCATCCAACTGATCACTCACAGATTGTTGATGAGAGTCGGCTTGGACCGGGAGTCTGGCTAGTGAGCGGTGGCCGGGGCGGGAGTGGAGGGGGTGTTCGTTTGTTGGTTGCTGGTCTTTCCTCCTGACCGTCAGTGTGTTCATGGGCCATGGCAAGTCAGGCTTGAATATCTGGTTGATTCCTGGAAAAAAGTAGCTATGTGTGTACGACGCATACATCGATGGATTGTATGCATACAATGATGTCATTCTGTTCCCTGTTGACCGTCCGATCAGCAAGCTTTAGCAGTAGTACACCCGTGGTGAGATCGGAGATCCACGGGGACCGACAACGTGAGTTACGTGACCTACTTGGAGGAAGACAGCGCCGAACAACAGTCCAGTCTCTCATCATGGCCACCGCCACCACCACAGCTGTGCGTACATATCTCGTCAACATCCTTTGGAAAGCTACCTACTGATTTTCTGATCTGGCCATCCTTCTCACAGTCCCGTCCCTGAGAGTGAGACAAGACCATCAAGATCTACCGGCCTCAATGTAAGCGAAAATGACTCCAAGGGCCCAACAACATTTCTTTTTTTTTTTGAGAAAATGAAACCCTGCTGAGTTTTACATCCGATTGTCTTCGCAGATCGTTTGTCTCCGATCATGATGGACTGGCGCCAACGAGTAGTGGTACGAATTATATCGAGACGGCTGGAGATTTTGTCAAGAATCAAAGCTTCGGTCGAAATCTCTTCACCGTTGGCAATGCTAGTAACAAGAACTCAGACGACAGCTTCCCATTGAACTTGGATTTCATTCCGATGAAATTCAGTAACCATACAGAGGAGATTTTCAACGACTTGCATCAACCAATCACCCGGATCCAAACTTTCCCATGAGTCCAACCCACCAGATCGTTCTAAATCAAGCATCCAATTGTCCATCTTCACGGCCGCCAGAATCGAACGCTTTATATCCAAACCTCTTGCTGGAAAAACAAATTCAGCTTTCAATCACAACAGCTCAGCCAACCTTAATTATAATCACAAACCACCTGTGACTCCGAAGTTGTATCCTAGTCATTCTCATTCCCAATCGTTGAACTCTCATCCATCTGCAGACCCCTTGACCCAAAAAGCACTAACTTGAACCATCTGTTTTTTCTTCTTCTCAAGACCCAACCAATTGACTGACTAACCTTCCCCACCCAATGGAGTCCCTCTTGCTCAACCTGTTCTGATCGATGGATTGGACCCATTGAGTGACTGTCTTTGGTCTGATAACCAGCAGATGTTCCTGGCAATCTGTCATATTTGGCTATGTACCATCTCTTCCCTGATTGTCTTTTTGTATTTGGTTTTGTTGGTCAAACCACTGGAGTCAAATATCAACAATTACTGACTTCTGCTTCTCTCTCTTCTCCTTGTTTTTCAACCTGCCAGACAAGTTATCACACCAGCCCCACCACTTGCAGTCAATCAACCCACCATACCATCTCTCCAACCATGCAGCACATTTCCAGCACC